TTTCGACGATCGTTATCGACACTTTCCACGTGTTATCGTTTGCCACGATATTTGTTGAACGATTTCGAGACGATTTTCGGTGTTGAGACTGTGTCAGAGAGTGATGAAACGAGTGTATGTAAATATATGCTAACAACCTAGGAAATTTTTCGAGCCACTTTCCTTATTGCATAGAATTTTTCTAGCTGCTATAGAATCTTTTGGTAATTTTGTTATTAATAAAAAAAATTAATATTACAGATCGATTGATATTAATCTCACACGCATCGATAGATATTTCACGAACGAATTTTTGCAATTTAACTTTTGGTCAAGCTTGTGAATTTTTAAAACAGATTGACGATTATAAATTTTTGATCAGTGGTAATTTATAGCTATTAAATTAATAGATTTTCTGCAAAGCTTCGATTATCATATCAATTCTGATGGCAGAAATTTCTACTTCAAAAGATTCGTATTATTTAATTAAATTGATTCTATCAATACATAATTATATTATGCATTTAATTGTTATTATTATTAATTTCGAATACGCGAGGAAAAACAATGTTATCGTTCTTCATGAGGTAAAAAATTTATTTAAAAATACGTAAAAATAATAATTCTATATTATATTTTATAAAATCTTATCTTGTTGATACAAAGATCATTGAAGATAATAAATATTTATCAGAATATAACAGAATAGTAAATTCTAACTTATTTAAATTGGTTATTTATTTTTCGTCAACCTAATATCATTGTAGACATGCTAGAAAATCCATAATTAGTGAAAAGCAATATATTCTGTGCTATGTATGCGTCATTCATGAATCACGACAATTACCTCACATAAAATTTTCAGGTAAAATTTTCAGGTAAAATTTTCAGGTAAAATTTTCAGGGAAAATTTTCAACTAAAAGAAAGTACTCTTCGCTATGAATTACTCGACCCAAGTTCTTCAAACAAAGCAAAAAGGAGAAAAGAAAAAAGATCCAAGAATAAAAAGTTTAATACTATAATTATTTCTTTTATTATTTAATTTAGAAAAAATAAATTAAAAAATGTAGCGAATAATTTATTAATTATGTTAATTTTTAATAATTAAATTAACATAAAATTAAATATGTAGAGTGAAATTAAAAAGATTAAGAAGTATAAAAACTTCTTTTCAAAATTATATTAAAAAGATTTTACTGAAAAATTACAATGTCGTGAAAATAATCGTATACTGAATTATTATGACAGAAAAATTGATATTTAAATGACAATTAGTCATTTTAGAAATGAAACATTTTTTAAATTTTTAATATATAAACATACATGTATAATAGCTGACTCGTAAAAAAAAATGATATAATGTTTTCAATGATATTGTTGGCAGAATATTCTGCAGTTATCTTACAATGTATATTGTACACAATCATGTGAATTATTTACAAATGCACGATAAGTTGGATTGTAATGTGAGTTTGTTATTTGTTGAAAATTAAAAATTGTTCAAGGCGTGATAAAATTATTACAATTTTTAATAATAAACAAATAAATAAAATTTTATTTGATTGATCTTGATGGAATCTGTTATAGATATCACGATATTGAAAAATTGAAAAATTGATAATA